TGAAAATCTAAAAATACTACCAGATAGCCCTAATAAAGTGGCTGTGAGAATGTACAATTAGTTTTGTGATTTTCTAAAATGTAATGACAGGAAAAAATAAAATTAATTTTCAAAAAATAAGTTTTTTCCAAAAAACTCAGCAATCCTTGAAATTTTGAAAACTTTTTTGATGGCATCTTGGTGAACATCCCAATACGCAACTTTGCCTCAATTTAACCATGCTCGTATCTATTACGGTTACCGAGATACCAATGCTCGTACCTCGAATTTGTAGCACCCTGTATATACATAATATACAATAATACTTCCCTGTCTATGGAAATTCTACATATGTACAGGGTGTATGTATGTACATTTCAATCCTTCATATTTTCTCAATGACTCGACCGATTTTCAAAAACGAAGCGGGAAAGTATAGAGAATAGAAAGCCCTTTTTATTGCGGTAGCACTTGACTCCCCTTCCCATTTGAAAAAAATTGGGGGATAACACTCCCGCTTAGAGGGTTTGCAATAATTTTTGGGGCAAAAGTTGTCCCCCTCAGAAACAAAACTGATGTGTTATTGGATTTTCTGAAAAAAAAATTACCCTGGCCGTTATGCCTTGCGGAACGTTTTCGATGGGCCACCCTGTATATACAATACTGTACATATGGTAAGGCATCAATATTTAGACTGGAACAAAAGCACAAAATAAACATTATGAGCATAAAATTCAAGGGGATCAGGAAGTTGTTTAACGAATCGTATGAGATTCTTCTGTAAATATGAGATACTGAATCGTGTGATTCGATTCACTAAAAAGAATGGTAATGTCCATCACTATTTTGCAAATAAATCTATAGTCTCCTATTAATATTTTTTAACCAGAATGTTTATAATTAGCACTATACTGAGTCATATGTAATCTCACATGTTTGTCGACAAAGACTAAAATAAAGCAATGCCAAAAAAACTTTAGTAGAATTTTATAAATTTTCAGTAATATAAAAAAATATTAATCCTTATCTGAGTATCAAGGCATAATTAACGCTTAATCCAAGCGAAAACCAGCTTAAAGCGGAACTGACGAACCTGGAAGACTCCGTCCGTAATCTGAAATGGGAATCCTTCAAGACACCCGAAAAAGTTTCTCAGAACTTGCGACCTGGAAAAATAAAAGATTTTCCTTGATACAAGTAAGAACAATTTTTGGATTGTCACAGGGTTTCTAACAGGACACTGTCTCCTCAACGAACACCTCAGTAAATCTACTGAGGTGTTCGTTCTTCAATCGAAGCTGAGAAAAAATGGCGAATGCAGATTTTGGGGGGGAAATGGGGAAACACCAGAATACCTTATTACTGAGTGCGCCGAGGCGACAACCCTTCGTACCTTAAACTTTGGTATGGCTTATGTCAGAGATGGATGTATCTGTGGAGCCGTCTCAGATACTGGCTTTTATCAAAGCCCCGAGTCTGTATGATGAGTTAAAGAGAAACACACAATAGATCTGTAAGGTCGCAGTGATTAACCCCTCTCCTAAACATTATACATTCTACAAGGTATTAATATTTAGACTGGATTAAAAGCACAAAACAAACATCATGAGCATAAAATTTAAGGCGGTCAGAAAGTTGTTTACAAAATAAAAACATATTTTATATTGTACTGTTACATCAAATGAGTATGTAGTTCGTTCAAATGAATGAATAATAAGAGATTCAATATGAGAAATTGAGTCGTGTAAATCGATTCACTTAAAAGAATCGTAATGTCCATCTTTATAATTAAATCTATAATCTCCTTTTTTAAGAAAGCGTCCATTCTTCTCAAAGAGATCTGGTATAAATTAGAAGAAAAAAGACTCAAAGTCTCGGTCTCAACGTTTATTTTAAGCTAAACGGTGACACGTGTTTCGCTCATACGAGCATCATCAGACAAAATATAATTAAAGTCAATCTACACACACGTTCAGATTTTAGACATTTAAACAACACTGAGTGACATGAAAAACTCTGAGGTGATCTTTTCATATTAAAAGACATATGTGGAGTTCTACTTCAGCTACAATTATTTCTCTCATGTTGTCGACAATAGTCGGTTAAGTTTTGTAAACACTGTCATTAACATATCCCCATAAAAAAAAACTACTACGACTTAATAAAATCAGGAGGAGTTAAACTTTTTAATTATTGGTGAATACACACTGCATTCACCAACTAATAGAATCATATGAATTTTTTCTGAAGTAGGATAAGTTTGCATTTTCGGCAGATTTTTTTAACTGACACAAAATGATAACTAGTTGTTAAAGTTGGACTAATTAGACTGGTATGTTGAAGTAACGTCAGATATATCACAGGCACCTAGATTTTATCAAATAATAAAGATCTACTGACACTAAATCATAAAAATGAAAATATCTAGGAGAAGATTTGTTTGAGGGGTAGGCAACCTTAATAGTATTTTGAAGAGACATAAATTCCCCATCGGAATAATATACTGGGCCTTCTATTTAAAATAAAAGAATAACTTGCTTTTAGAAGTGACCAATGTTCAATATTAATGTTGTCTCACCCTGTATAACTTTTTGGGTAAAACTTGACCCAAAAAGTTATACAGGGTGAGAATGAAAATGAATTTCATTTAAATTACAATAGTTATTTTACCTACATATTAGGTTATAGCGGGTAAATTCCAATTTACGTAACTTTTATTGTAATTTAAAAATTGTTCTTTATTTTTAGAAAATGTGAAATGTGTAAAAAACGTTACATTTTAGTCATATAGTTCTCTAATAAAACTCACCTTTATTTTTCTCTCAAAATCCGAAAATTAATATACAGGGTTGTTCACCGCATACGACACGGAGTATTGTAGCGATTTAGATTCTATGATTGAAATAAAGGTAAACGATTTCTACGATTGAAATAAAGGTAAATTTTATTAAGGTTTATCACACTTAAACCTTACCGTTTTTGAAATATTTTCAATTTTGTGAAATTGCAGTAAAATTTTAAGGCTTTATTTCTCCAAGGGTATCAAAGTTTTTAATACTAAATATTTACTGAAGTTTATTTATTGATCAGTTATTGTGTTGCAATAATAAAAATTATACTACCTTAAACAGAGTGTCTAAAATTTTATTTTAAATAATGACTAGCTTTAAACGGCAATAACTTGTTTAATTTAAATGGAACACCCTGTATATTTTATGAGAATCAGATGCACAATTTAATTGTCTATCAAATTGTGTTATACCATTTTTTACCTATAGCTTCAAGTTTCCGTAGAAATGGGTATAGATGGGTATCAATATACCCATGGAATACTGACATTTTAGATTATTTTTAAAAATGTACCAAATTTTTAAAGAGTACAGATACTAATATTGTCGATATAGTTTTTCTTCAGTAAAAATTTTACTGCAATTTCATTAAAAAATAAAAAAACTGTTTAAATATTTGTTAAAGAGGACCAATTAATATGATTCCAGTATTCAAACTACATTAATTGACTGTTTGCGTTGATTAATAATAATTGCTCCGAAAACTAAAAAAATTAATTTTCTTTGTGTATTAGACAGTGTAGTAAAAAGTAACACCTTAAAAATGATATTTCATTTTTTGACAAATGGTTATTTGTAACAACAGAGACATTCATTTTTATAACTTATTATTATATTGATTTCTGATTCAAATCCACATTTATTTAGAATAATTTATTCACGAACATAGTTAGGTATGTAATTAATTAGTCTTTGGGCGGAAATAATGGTGGTATGTTTAATTAATGGTGTACTCTTTTATGAAGATTTAAATAGTTTTCTTTTTGCATACAAATGGGCTAGTAATATTATCATTGTGTTAAAAACGATAATATTACTAGCCTGTACATTTTGTACATTTGTTGCTTTAAAAACAATCTAAAATGTCAATATTCCATGGGTATATTGATAAATGAGGTCTAAATTATAAGAAAATGCATTTTCTACGAAAACTTGAAGGGATAGGTAAAAAGTGGTATAATACAATTTGATAGACAATTAAATTATGCATCTGATTCTCCTAAAATATACAAGGCGTTCTATTTAAATTAAACAGGTTATTGCTGTTTAAAGCTAGTAATTATTTAAAATAATATTTTAGACACTCTGTACAAGGTAGTATAATTTTTATTATTGCAACACAATAACTGATCAATAAATAAACTTCAGTAAATATTTAGTATTAAAAACTTCGATAGCCTTGGAGAAATGAAGCCTTAACATTTTGACTGCAATTTCACAAAGTTGAAAATATTTCAAAAACGGTAAGGTTTAAGTGTAATAAACCTTTATCAAATTTACCTATATTTTGATCATAGAAACTAAAAATGTAATAATATACAGGGTGTTCCATTTAAAAAAATACAACTTTGATATTTTTTATTTATTTGGGACACTCTGTCTCTTGTAAAAATATTTTTAAATTGTAGCTCTAATAGTCCTTCAACGAACCCAAAACTTACAATTTGTAAAAATCTAATCGTTTAGCTACAATACTCCGTGTCGTATGTGGTGAACAACCCTGTATAGGATGCTCCATTACAAAAAACAAAACTTTGATATGTAACTTTTTTGGGGACACCCTGTAGAGCTCTCTATATTTTTAAAAAGTGATCTGAATTAACCTACATATTATGCTCACAAAATTTCATTTCAATACAAACTGTCTTTCTCCCTGGAGCCTCCGCTTCGTGAGAAGCGCCACTCTGTATAATTTTTTTTCAAAAATTAAAATTTTATCAGAAAAAGAAGTGTGTAATATGTTATCTCAAATGTTTGTGGACAAGGACTAAACAAATCAATGACAAAAATCTTTAGTAGAATTTTATAAATTTTCCCAGTAATATAAAAAATCTCGAAAAATCTAAAATCCTTATCTAAACATCACGGCATTATAATAAATGGAAACGTTTCTATTTTATTTTTAAACTTAATAGGACTTTAAATAAATTATATAAATGACTGGAAACTTACCTTTTTAATGTTACTTTTAAGAAACTCTTCCGATTCCATGTTTAAAGTATCCACCGATTATTATACTGTCCTTCGTTGTTTTAGCCACAATATTTACTCTTCCTGATGCTTACACTGCTATTAAACTAATTAAAACCAACTCGCTTAACTTTAATGATATTTGCCCATCGTGAAGTACACATAAAATTGTCACACAACACTGTTTATTATGAAATTGTCCGCCGTATATTATTTTCTATTTGGTGAAAATAATATATTAATGGCATTATCTTTTTTTAACACTACTCAATTACTATATTTGAAGTATATTTGCTGATCCCATTCAAAAATAATATTATGTATTTTGAGTTGTTTAAATATTTGATTTGTTATTATCTATGTATTTAATGTGATTAAAAGTTTTTATTATACTTGATGGTGATAGTAACACGTTAGACGTCTGGTGTATTAAAAATAATTTATTATAACAATAATAAATTATTTTTTGAAGGAATATTTTTTCATATTATTAATATCATTGAGAAAATAATACTGAAAAATCCTTATAAATTTTTATATAATTAAATGGATAAAATATAGAAATTTAAAGTCATGGAATTTTTGAACATATACCGGGTGTTTCTCAAAAGTGGCTCAACTCTATAACTTTTTATTTTTTCAAATAACAAACGAGATTTGGTAATTTAGTATAGAACATAAATTAGGATTGAAGGTGCCCAGTTGCGTAGAGGTACAAGCTCTCGTCTACCAATCTCAAGGTAGTGGGTTCAAATCCCACACCCGGCATTGCATCAGCCGACTATTTTTATTAAAATAAAAATAGTTTGGGTACCTAGGTCGACTCAGCCTTAAATGAGTACTTGGGATTCACAATCCTGAGGTAATAATAGGCGGTTGAAGCGTAGTGCCAGCCACATTACCTTCCTTGTATGCCGAATGGCTCTAGTATGGCAAGCTGTACCTTGCTACTCCCAAGGCGTTAAACGCTATATACGGGAGCTATTATTATATTAAATTAGGATTGATTGACGTATTCAATTGTTTTCGGTCAGTTCATGTTTCACCGGAAATGACTATAACTTTTGATTTTTAAATGACACCCTCGGTATTTTTTGACTTTATTCGATAAAAAATGACACTCTGAATAGTAGAGAAAATTAACCTAAACTCAAACATAATCACAAATGAAGAAAAGAAATGAAAAAAACATAGGTAACTTAAAATTTATACCCAACAACATAAACCAACTTAACTAAATTTGAAAAAAACCTTACATTTTCAATTAAAAATGCAAATTCTTATAAAAACATGACATAAAATATAACTAATATATAAAGCTAGTGATGGGAATACCGGTTCCACATGAGTCGCGTTGCAATAGCGACCGTTCCAGAAAAATACCGCGATTTTGTAATCGAGGTTCCAACTTCCTAAGGGTCGCGATCCTCGCTTATGTAGTATTTCTGGCATTGGTACCTACTTTTATTTTATACTACCTACCTAGTCCCACAAACCACTGTCAAAAAAAAATCTTTATTGGTGACCGGTTTCGGCAATTCCAGCCATCATCAGACCTTAAAAATTGATATAAACAATAAAACTTATATAAATGTATAAAAGCAAATAAAATTTTCATTTTATTTTATTTGCTTTTACGTTTCATCTTTCAAACAACGCTATTTTATACCATGCTTAGTACATACGACGGCTGGAGCGAAGTAGACCGCCGCGCCGCCGAGATCGAGCGTCGATGCCCAGTTACAGCAGTTACGCGACAGGGAATTACAACTCTAGGAGCGCGACGCGACGCGACGGCTGGAATGAACACGTCGCCGTCGCCATCGAGATCGCCCGACGCAGCCGACGCTACGTAAAGTTCCAGTAACTATTGTAGGCGACCGACGAAATCGCGACGGCTGGAGCTAAACACATCGCTATGCGGTTACTACGGTTCAAGCTAACTTCAAGAGCGATTATAAATAATTTATTTGCAAATTATAAATAATTTATAATTTTGTCGTCATTATGCTCATCGCTCTTCAGTAACAGGTGCCCCATCCGTTGTGGAGCGCGACACGGCGTTACAAAAAAATACCGCTCCAAAATCGCATTACTCAAATACCGACACATCACTACATAGAGCAACATTATACTAAACTACCTGATAAAAATGCCCACTGCGCTGTGCATAAAAATTTGGAAATTTTTAATTCTTTATACATCTTAAAATGTTGGTTATTATACAGAAATTAGACCATTAAATTATTCCGGTTGAATACGTGAATTATTACTTTAATACGTTGCTTAATACGTTGCTTATATTTTTACATCAAAAACATTTCTATAAAAAGCAGATACTTCTACAGAATTGTTTCTGTATAGGATCGGTGAATAAAATTTCCAGATATGGAATAAGCTTCTTCTGAAACGCTCTGCAATCTGCCACAATCTGCCGAATTCGAAGATCAGGCAGAAAATATTTGAGAGAGTGCAACTACTCTTTTCCTTCTACTATGGTAGTAAGAAGAATATAGACGCGTATTATAAAAGTTGAAGCTGCCAAGCCAAGATTCCCCGCAACATAAGAAAAGCATTGAGTTTATTTTTGAAAGTATTTCGATAAATGCTTCGCGAATATTTTAAGAAATATTTCCAAAAATATTTCGTGTAACATTTCGGATATTTCGTTCGTTTTGTTTAGTTCGGTTCTTTTGTTTTAATTTTTGCACTGTTACAGCCTATTTTATGGCTTGTGCCTTATGAATGTTGAATCTACAAAAGAAATATTTTTTCTGTTTTGCCAAAACATTTAACATCGTTCAGTTTGTTATTTAAATTCATTGAACATAGAATTGACCGCCGCTAACCGTTTTCTGATATCTTTAACAGATCTCGAGTTATTTGAGAAAATCTACAAAAGAAATATTTTTTTCTATTTTCCGAAACATTTAACACTGAATATCTCCGGTACAAAAATTGTCAATCTCAAAAACGAAACGGTTTTGTAAAGTACACATTCAGGACTACAACATATTACCACTTAATCAAACAGGATTTTTCAAAAAATTTCGAGAAAATCCAATGAACCAAAACTGGGCCATGCATGACCAAGGTCAAGACCAAGACTACTTATTAACTGCAAGTCCAAAATCAAGGGAGTCTTGTCTTGGTTTAGAGTTTATTTTGAACACAAATTGTTTATTTTATTTTTTTTTGTATTATTTTGAGACCAATTTTATTATGGCCTCTAAGTTTATGGAAATCTAAATGGAATATATGTTTTTAAAAACTAATAGGAAATAAAACAGAGTTGACTAAATTATCCAATAAAATTTTTATTATTAACAATACTTGTCTAAATATTTAATACAAAACATTAAGTATACACAACAACTTGCAAAGTAACAAATATTGATACATATATAACATTTGCAATATTTATTGGTGATTAATACAGTGAGTAATGAGCATCAGTTAATTACAACTATAAGATATATACTGAGAAATAAAAAAAAAAATATTTATTTACACTTATTTATGACCAACATCAATGTTATATTTTCATTTTGATAAACCTAATATTTGGCACAACTAATCAATCTTTATTATTTATATTTTGATAATGTTTTTGAATAGTACACATTTTTTTTAATTTGTTCGAGGTATAAAGGATACATAAATTGATCTGTTTGCTATAGTATATGACTATGACTATGAACTGTTTAATAGACAAATTGTAAAGTTCTTATGAAAAGTGTTACATTTATCACAGTTTATAATTACAACTATCTAAATTATCTCAACATTTTGTTGAGTAGCTACACAGGTATTTCCAATTTCCAAATATACTATGCAAAGTAACAATTACTGTTAATATAATATTTTGAGTAATTTTTATTTTTATTAATACATGTATTTATACAATCTGAAATAATCACAAGTGGCCAATAACCGTTGATACATTGATAAATCATTACCACAAAAGTAGTGGAATATATCAATTAACAATTTTGAATCCACATTTTTGAATATAATATCAATAAAATAATCAAAGTTAGTGTTTAATTTTATTTACTTTATTAGAATGATTTTCTATAAGATATATTTGAAATTGAATTTCAGTGTGCCATATTTGTTTAAAATTTAACAGTTATTAACAGAGGATTATCTTTTTATTTTTTTAACTTGTCAGTTACATATTTTATTATTCTTTTAATTATTATATGAGAATTGATAAAAAGTTAATTAGAAATAGTTAGCAAATATGATTTTACATTGTTAATATGTAGATAGATATTTGTAGATTTTGTTATCAAATTTAACAAAATTTATTATACATAAATTGTTATCATGAAAATGTTGCTAAAAACAACTGATTTCCCTACTGAAACAAAAAAAATATAGAGAGTTTTCCTGTATATAAGTTTTAGTTAAAAAACGAGAATTGATATTTTAGTATATGACATAAATTAGGATTGATTGACGTATTCAATTGTTTTTGCTCACTTCCTGTTTCACCGGAAATTACTACAACTTTTGATTTTTAAATAGCACTCTCGGTATTTTTTTACTTTATTCGATAGAAAATAACATTCTGAATAAAATGATATATCATATGTCAACTTTTGACATTTTTGCATATCATAAAATAATTTTTGGTTCGTAACGAAAATTAGACTCGAAATACCAAGTGTGTGGTATCAAATTATTCGTAAAAAATGCTTTTTCCAAATATGCCAATGAGCCACCCTCGTTCCATTTCAAAAAATTGAGATATTATTAAAAATACGATTTCAGCATTTTCTAACTGACCAGGACAAGAGACTAAAAACATTAGACGGCCAAATCCATTTCTTCAATGCACCTTGATTAAAAATTAGCGTTTTTAACATAGCCATGGCACTCTAGATTGAATTTTAAAATACGATTTTCATTTAGCGGGAATATCAAAAGTTATTATTTTGTAAATTAATAATTCGATTGAAAGGAAATATAAAATATTTAAAGTTCATTGACATATCGAGTTTACGCAACAAAAGCAAACTTTTTAAAATCAAAATTATAAGCATAATAATTGGCAATTGCGAAAAATATTTCCTTTCAATATTACGAATTTATAAAATCATCAAATCACCAACTAAGGCGGTCATCGCACCGATAGACCAATAATGGTGATTCGATGATTCTACGTAACGAACCAATAAATACAAAAATGTCACCTGTTGGGGGGATAGTCGACAGTCGATAGTTGATGTTCGAGAGAGTCGCG